TGCATTTTGCTAATCTTGCCAGAACTGCCATCATCCTCGGGGCCACGTGATTGAGGCCGGGTCTCGACCATGCTGCCTATTCTGCCACGAAACTATAAGGTAGCGTCCTCGAAGGGTTCTGCGCCATCTGTCGGCATATATATATTTGTGTATATGTATATATATATATATATATATATATATATATATATATATATATATATATATATATATATATATATATACATATACATATATATATATATATATATATATATATATATATATATATATATATATATATATATATATATATATAATACCCTCTTGGACACTACTGCACGCCGACCCAACCAGTACATCGGCTTCCGGCGCGTGCTACGCCAAGCCCTGTCTTGAATACTGGGGTAGTTGCTGTGGTCCCGTTGGTCCTGGTCCCTGTTGATGACCTGAGGAGGAATAAGATCCTGGGCTCAACTAGCGGGCGTGTTGGGTGCAACAATCGCACTCTCGACTGGAGAGTGCTTTTTTCAAGCGGGCGCTCACTTCTGCGCACCCGCACGAGGGTGGTGCTTCACCCGCCATTTGCGCCTCGCCTTCCCTGCTCGAGTGCGCCTTCATAAGCGCGGACACCACACTAGCCGCCAGAGAGTGTTAATGAACTAATGTGGACGTGGTTATTTCTATGACCACAGCGCGTATTTCAAACCAAGTCTTATTACTTGGATGGCATTGAAGTCGCCAAGAATAATAATAAAGATTTATTTATATTCAAGGTTGAATATTGTAAATATGTACATTCCGAAATGCACAGTTTTCACTTGAACTGTGTATTATCAGTTTCCCACTGTATCCTTTCCCTTATTTCTCTTTTTCTATTATTCTTTCTCTTCGGCGACGCTTCCAAAGTGTCATAATAACTCCTGAATTGAGTAATAATCGTCAATTTTTTTTTTTTTTCTCTCTCTCTCTCTCTCTCTCTTCATAGTAGTTTGGGTCCTCTGCACTGAATGCTGAATGTTTGAAAGTTTCTCGGACTCGGGTCTCTAAAACAGCACATTGCTGGTTACTCTAAAATCTCGCAACCCCTAAAAGCCTGTAAAAAGGCTTGATGAATCAGAGTATATTAAGCTGATATTCTGAAACAAACCATAGCATTTACCATAACTGGGTTTCCGATTTCAGCAGGTGGAAGCTGAAACCGAAGGGAAGAAGAATTCTATGATCTTGCATTTTTCTTCCAAACATGTTCACGCAAACACTTACACATCCAACATTCAGCACACACATTCTGTATTTTCTTTCCACTCTTCTTTTATACAATATTCACACCTCCCTACACAACACACACATTTCCCGAACCTACTAACTGGGTG